ACATATAACGAGGAAGGAGGATTGGAAAACTTGACACTCACAGGGCATATCAAAAGAAAAATGGACAGGGAATGGCAGCGAGCTATTTAGCTGACCAGCTTGTGTAAATAGTGTTAAGGGGTCCACCTCTTTTTTATACAAGTGGACTCGCCCAGTGTGTACTTGTACTGCTGCCGGTGAATAACCGGAAGTGATATAGTGAGAGAGTGAGAGTTTGAGGGAACTGCTTTGTAGGAGTCACAGTTGCGAGCACGTAGACTCAGAAGGAAGTCATACTTCGATACTGAATTTCCCAGACTGTATATATATTATTATTGCTACTAACCGCATTTCTGGATCTACTAACCGTATTACCAATTGTATTATTATGTCAATACATTTATTTGCTATATTTCATTCCTGCGTTTGTCATTCATTTTGAGACCGGATTTCATCCCGGAATCCACAACAAATAGATAACAGAATGCACGGTGGAAGAGATGAAAAAACAAAAGACAAAAAAAACAAATGCTGTTAGCTACAATAGATCGGAAGTTGTGGAAATCCATGTTTACCCATGCATTGCAGAAACATCGCATACAGAAGATATATATTTACTAGGTTCGAAAATAAGTAAAGACTTATTGTGCATATTTGAGTCTATAAGCATTTAACTGGTTGAGAACTCGATAAATATTATCCGTTTATCTTTGGATCTCGTCCACGAAATGCGTCGACGATCAAGCAAAGTCGAATAGGGTCTTATAAACGCTAATCTTTATCAGAGTCTGGAAACATTCATATCTTCTCAGTTTTGTATCCTAACGTAAACAAAGCATTTTCCAAAGAACTCATGGATTTCTATTTATTGATCCGCACTTCTTTAAAATTGTTTTGTTTACGCCAGGTTACGAAGCTGAGCAAGTATGAATGTTTCAGAGAGTCAGCGTTTATAAGACACTATTCGACTTTGCTTGACTGTTGACGTATTCAGCAACCAAGTTTATTTAAATCACATCAAATCTAATAACGGTTTCTCCATATTTGTATCTCTCTGAATTTACTTCATTCTGGAATGGGTAGGTGTTTATCGCTTATATTTGCCTCTATAAGCATTATTTGGCTTTGCGGTTAGGTAAATATTGTTTGTTATATTTGAGTTTATGAGAATTTAATTGACAGGTGAACCATTTAAGTGGTTCTTGGGACGTGTTCTACGCCAGGTCGTCATTGCAAAGGGTAGAGTATTATATATCCTTAGGACGAAGAAAAATTGGCCTGAAGTTGCTGTTCCAGGTGAAAATAAATTAAAATTTAAAGAAAGAAGCAAGTAGAAAAAAAGGTGGCGTTGATGGTAATATTAATTGTTTACTTTAATTAACCGAGCAGGAAGTGCTTTTCTTCCCTTTCCATTGGTTGGTATTTGTTCTCTTCATCTCTGATGGTAAAGATAATATTAGAATTTTTCATATAAGGAGATATTCAGTATTCACTGGTCGAGCAGATAGCGGTACTTTCAATTAAAATTTAAGAAATCTTACGATTAAAACAATTTTTTCATGAAGTCGACCATCTTGCTCTTTCCAGTGTTGATAGGGATTTCCTCCCCCTCAATGTTTGGCTTGAAGTAGCGTCGAAAGTTAATACTTTGATTATTTTATTTTTTTCTCTTCGAGTTACATGTGAAATCCGTTTTTAACTGTTAGTACTGTTGAAAGTTCTCAAGTTTCTGTTGTTAGGTACAGTTTTTTGTTTATGATTATGTAGCGCCAGTTCACAAAATCAACGGTCGCTGCCAAGACCTAGAGGCTTCATTCGATGATAACGGTCACAATTAAAAACATCATTACTGGCGCACTTGGAATAGTCTTGTAAAAACTTACGTGGGAAGAATTGGCAATGTAAGGAATTGATCCAAGCATCATTCAAGAGAATTCTGGAGCATTGTGTTAACTTGCTGTTAGATGACCAAGCCAGTGGATATGATTGCAGCCCAAATCTCATTAGCATAACAAATCTATATAATAAGTGACACTATGTCACACTTTTTCAACTTAACAATAACACAATTCTCTAACTTTCAATAGCTCATTTCAAATGAAAAAAAAATAGTGTTCTCAAATTACAGTGTTTCAAAATAAACTTGTCTGTGTTTTAAAGCTTACCCCAAGAAGCTGTTGCCCAACATACCTTTTTTGGAATCAGGCTGACTCCGTGAGCAAATTAAAAACATACCAGGCCAACAATCCTGAAATTTTTGATTTCTAAGTTTTCATTACTACGATTGTTTTCGACGGATTTTTACGTGTATTTTTTTTTCAACGAATTTTGGTATTATATCAATTTTTATAACTTGAAAATAAATTTGGGAATAATCAAAATTAATTGCGAAATCCAGTGAAAGTCATCCATGAAATAAAAATAAATGTTTGCGCAGAAAGTAAGGACCTACGTACATCAAATCGTCTTTAAATTAAATGGCGGCAGAAGAATTATCGTTGAACGTTTAAATGGTAAGCTTAAATATTAATGCAATACTTAAATACAGCGATCAATTTTGAGTTCCTTTGTAGTTTATTGTTGCCTATCGTATCTATTCTTCCTTACCTATTGTGATGAAAGCACAGTCAAGAACCCTCAACAGGAGGTAGCTTAAATTCCGCCCGTGTGTGCGACTTTTAAGCTAGTCAAAATCATTCTACATATTACAACGTAGCCTTTATCGTCCTTTATCGTTTTATTAGCTTCACCCAAATCAAATATATAAGGAAAGAATAGGGATGTCTCATACCATTTTATTTATTGCGATAATAAGTTAGCTGATCATTCATTCATAAATAATATTGGTAAAAAAAAACAAACAACGAATACACGCAGAGCCACAATTATTAAATCTAATAATAATAATGATAATCAATCACAAATAATTGATGAACGGATACAAAATACCGTAAGTCATTAATAACATTAGTCACTAAAAAAAATCTGAAATGGTGTCGAGATAGGGCGCTGAATCTGAAAATAACTTTATTTTTTATTCGTTAGCTACTGTTTTTGCTGTACAAAAATGCCTCATTTTCGAAAAAAAATTTTTTTTTTTCATTTTTCTGTATATACGATATTCACCGATGGTAATATTTCTTAAAATAAAATCGTAGAAACCTCTCAATTCATATTTAAACCAACAAATATTGGTCTGCTTATTGAGGAATACTATTTTCGCAATAACAATCAGACTCTAAATCTTTAAAAATAACAAGATTGAATATACCAAGACCAACAAGTATTTTCATCAAATCATTTAATAAACTAAGAGCAGAAATAAACCTTTTGTAAACATAAGAACTAGAGTAAAAAAAAAAATCTTTCTTGATTGTCAGGTTCAATGATATTTAAGTCCCTTTTAATACTCCATCAGTATCATGTACAATGGAATAGGTGCATTTAATTGAGATGTCTTTAGTTTCTTTTCAACTGTGAAAACAAAATGCTCTCAATGTGCTTGGTTTCCTTCCATCGTAAATGGGACAAATTTATGAATATCAAACAGAAGTTTTAGGGTTTAATTTCTTTGATGTCACCTTAATTATCAGGTTTACTAAAGTTTATTACTGATAAAGTTTATCAGTTAATTTGAATTTTGGCGATAAACTGGAAAATTTCGGTATATCTATTTTAAATTTTTTGACTCAAAAACCTTTACTTTTATAAAAATGGTTTATTTCAAGTGGCTAGCATAAATTGCTCGGCCTAACTGAAAATTAATGGGTTTCTACGACCTTCATTAACTAAATTTTGCGATCAGCCAAGACTGTAAATTGATCATTTTTTTCCCAAAAATGAGCAGTTTCAGTACAACAAAATGGTAGTTAACCATGAAAAACTGAGGTCATTTTCGGAATCAATATCATCAAATTAACTAAAAAACGTGTTTTGTTTCTTGGCACCAAAAATCGTGTTGACCAATGTGTATCTATATATCTCAGAAGCCATTATCGTTTTGTCGATGCATAATAGGAATTGCAGCCACATCAGCGGTATGTATATCTTCGATAATATAGCTAAAAAGATAACTATATTTTCCGGGTTGTTTTTAGAGTTGTTCTTCTGCATGTCCTTCCAAGGATAAACGACTCTGCTCTACTATTTTACCCATAGGTAGGAGGAGAAGAGATAAATTCAAAGTAAGAAGTGAACAAAAAGAGATTTGTTCGGAATTTGAACACGAATCATTATAATTATCTGCATTGATAATCATTAACCATAACACCACCGAAATCATTACTGCCTAAATAATAGCAATGAAGACTTGGTCGCAAGTAAAATGGATTAAATTCTAGTGGAAGTAAAACTTAATGAGTAAAGATAGTTATAGATCACTGGGCAAGATCCTGAATGGTTGAAAAGACATTCCATTTTAGCCATAAGTGACTACGGGCACTAAGAATAAGTGTAACACATTTGGATAAATAGAAAGAAAGCTGAAATAAAATTATGCATTTGTAATCCGAGTTGTGGAGCGATCACATAATTTTGTAGATTAAAAATGAACTGAAAATATTGCACAAAAAACAAAACATAAAGGGAAATAATAAAACATAATATAGAACAATAATTATGAAGCGTATACCAGAAGAACTCTTTAGGGTATAGAGTACGAAAAAGAAGTGAACTGAAAATATTGCATGACTAAACAAAAAACAGAGACGCCAACTATAGAAAAAGAAACAGCAAGTTTGTGTTAAAAACAACGCTTTAGGATAGAGAGCTCAAATATTGTGTCACGTTCAGTAGAGCATGTACTTATAAATCATCAGTTACCTTCCCCTAATATCTTGGAGGCATAAAAAGCACCCTGTAAAACCCGTCACTCGACGAGTAGTCAGAGTAAAATGCAATAAAGCTTTGGTATAAGTTTATTCACTGGTTCTGTTTTTAATAAGATAGTGAAGCGACCGTCTGTTAAATAAATACCGAAAACAAACAAGATAGAAAAAATATTGAAAAAACCGAAAAATCACATGTCAAGGCTGTTTGAATTCGCTTTTGTTTTCTTCCAAAGCGCTTTGACAGTGAAAGAAACCGTTTCAATAAGCCTAGGGATTTGCTGGCGCATGCCTTCACCTATAACCAGATGTTCGATTCGCCGCAGAAGGCATATCCGTTACTTCTGCTTCCGAATGCAAATGAATCGAGGATCAGTTTGCAAGAAGCCGCATAGTACTCGGTAAGCAGTTTCTATTTTTTGCCTATCCGAACGCCATAAATCAACACGTATCTGAAACCTGTGCTTCTCTTTTTACTTGTGGTAGGAAGCAGAAAGATAATGGCGGCAGATAACATTCTTTGTTCCAAAAGACGAAAATATGCCTTCTTTCTCGAAATTAAACTCCGATGACTTTTTACCTATTTAAGATTCCCCAAACAACAGTTTCGTCTCATTTTCTTATTCCGTCGTAAGGAAAATATGTCTAGAATGGTAAAAGTTCACAGACTAAGCCTAAAAAATATTAGTTCTTCAGGAGCCGGAGACACAGCAATAAAAAAAATCTCATACTTCTAGAAGATTCTTTTAAATCTTTATGTCTCCGATCATCAATATTTAGGGTTTGAATTCAGTAAAATACTTAGTTTAACAATTTAAGATTTTTTTCGGTCTTTTTTTTTTACGGCTTGTCAACCTTTTGTAGATTATTTAAAACCAGGAATATGCTTCATTTGTAAGAGTTTTTTCTTTTTAAGATAATAATAGTTTACTGATGCAAATCCTACTAATTAACCTACAGCAGGAGGGAGAAGAGGTGGATTTATATCTTTCTCAAGATCATCTTTCATTATAACAAAGCCGGCTGGAATTGTTACTCGACTCTCCGATTTCCAATACACGCACATATCCAAGCTTACAGCACATGGAATCATCCATGCGGTCACCCATCTAAGTACTGAGCAGGCTTCGGTGATCGTAAAAGAACCTGTGTTTAAGCCTCCGATTTTTTTTTGAGTGACATTACCATAAACCTGGAAAAAGGAGACGCTTCATGTCATATAGCAATTGCCAGATACCTACTGAGGATTTTGAATGAATTCGTCGCAATTTATAAATTCTCGATTGTCATTCCAAAGGAAATATTCATTAGACAGTTTATCTACCACTAGTTCAGTGTCCATCGTTTCTCTAAAGACAAGTTGATCAAATTTATATCTAAATTTGTTTCGCCATTTAAAATGCTATATGTATTTGAAAATGTATTCAGTTTAAATCTAGAAGTCTCCAAAATGGCTTCAAAGTATTGCTTTATACTCTTTTCTTATAACCAAGCTGTTGTTTCTATACAAAATGGAAAATTAATCCGTGTGAGATGAGATGTCAACATTAATTCCATTCAAGTTGTGTTTATGAACATTTGTGCCTGAAGATGTATATTTTAATTCAATAACAGAAATAATTCTGAAAATTAAAAAAAAAAGGTAATTTTAAAAAATAAATTTATTCATTACAATTTCCAGAATGCTCAAATAATCTTATAATTGTTGACAGTTTAAAAAAGTTACATTCTCAAAATTAGACGAAGTGAAGTGATTAAATGTGATTAAATGCAGCCGTGATTTGTTAACACACATGGACAAATTCGTTTGTGATTTCATTGTTTCTTTCTTTTCTTTTCTTTTCTTATTATATATATCGATTTCATTTTATCTATTTCAGTCTGTTCATTATCTATCTATCTATCTATCTATCTATCTATCTATCTATCTATCCATCTATCTTAGTCTGTTCATATCTATCTATCTATCTATCTATCTATCTATCTATCTATCTATCTATCTATATATATATATATATCAGTCTATCTATCTCTATCTATCTATTTCAGTCTGTTCATTATCTATCTATCTATCTATCTATCTATCTATCTATCTATCTATCTATCTATCTATCTCAGTCTATTCATTATCTACCCATCTATCTTAGTCTGTTCTATCTATCTATCTATCTATCTATCTATCTATCTATCTATCTATCTATCTATCTCAGTCTATTCATTATCTACCCATCTATCTTAGTCTGTTCATATCTATCTATCTATCTATCTGTCTATCTATCTATCTATATATATATATATATATATATATATATTACAATAAACGTGCAATCAATTTACAAATACATGAATTATTCACACAAAACTAATGCAAAAGGTTAATGATTTTAAATATGAGACAATTGTTTGCGAGATGGATGTCTCGCCATTTAAAATCATTAACCTTTTGCATTAGTTTTGTGTGAATAATTCATGTATATATATATATATATATATATATATATATATATATATATATATATATATATCAGTTTGTTCATTATCTATCTATCTATCTATCTAACTAACTGTAGTGATCATCAAAACTATTGGTTCTGTTCAGTAAAAAAGTAGTTTTTGTGGCAGACTGAAATTTTAACATGATAAATGAAATGAAAAATCTATATTTTTATGAATTTTCTCTGAATGCATTTCACTCAAAATTTCGAAAATCATTTAAATAAAGCGCAAGTAACGAACCAGCCCCATAATTAAAAAGATCAAAATTATTTGCCCGTTTAATAGATAATCAATCATGTATCCTTTTAAAGCGAAAATTATCGGTGGGCAAGTAACTGAAGCCGAGCCGCCAGATCAGGACCAAGAATATTGCTGATTCTTCTTTGGGTCTTATCATGGAGTTCTAGGTTAACAGCAAGGGCACTTGCCCACATGTGACAGCAGTATTCTAAGCATCGACGAATGGTAGACTCATAGATATGCAAGATAGTTTCCGGAGAGAAAAATTACCTTTCTCGACACAGTGAAATGATTTTCTTAGCAGCTGATCTACTGATGGATTCAATGCAGTCTTTCAACCTCATGTCAGCTGAGAATGTTAGCGCAAGAAGGTACAATGAGTCACTTTCTTGAGGGATAGCATCAGCCATAATGATGGAAGACAGAGAAGGGTCTCTCAGATGATTAATGGAAAGAAGTTTAGTTTTAGTGGCGTTAAAATTGACAAGCCATCTTTTGCACCAGTTAACGATGATCTTGAGGTCGTTTTGTAGATCAGCTGCCATTCTAACTCTGTCAGGCTGATCGGCTTTACTATCTAGGCAGGAGTAAATGGTAGTGACGTCAGCATAGATGCCATATTGAGAGCTGAAGTCATCGGAAAGGTCGTTAATGAAGATTAAAAACAGCTTAGGACAAAGGATAGAGCCCTGGGGGACACCCGCCTTAGTACGAAAGGATGTAGATGAGTGGCCGTTCAGGGCAACTTTCATTTCACGATTTGATAGGAACAGATGGATCTGCTCATCATGTGTCCAAAGACTTGTAGAGAAGACCTGAATACCAAACCCTGTCAAAGGCTTTCGAGATATCCAATGCTACCGTCAAGGCTTCATTTTTACCTAGAACATAATACTCTTTTCGCCATTAACGTTAGTGCAACAGCAGTTGATCTGGAGAAAGAAAGCTTGTCTGAGAAAAGGCCCTCTGATGAGAGATGATGAACCAATTCAGCATTGATTAGGGCCTCTAGGAGTTCCCCAAAAAGAGACAGAAGGTTAATAGGTCGATAGTTGGATGGGTCAGACGGTTCACCAGAATTCTTAAAAACTGGAATAACAGACGATGAATTCCAGTAAGCAGGAAAACAGGAGACACCAAGGCATTTATTATACAGTTTAGAGAGAACAGGAGCCAGTTTGAGAGCACACTCCTTAATGACTATGCTTTGTGGGGATCAAGGTTAGAGACGATAGCAGAGACCATGGAAAGGATTATGTATATCACTCAATTTCCTTAATTATCGTTAGGACATCAACAGTTGACCTGGAAAAATGAACCCCGTATTTATTGTCTGAAAAAAGGAACTGCAATAAGAGATGATGAATCAGCATTGATTAGGACCTCTAGGAGTTTCCCAAAAAGAAGTAGAAGGCTAATAAGCCGATAGTTGGATGTGTCGTCCGCTTCACCAGAGTTCTTAAAGACAGACGACTACTTCCAGCAGGCACGAACGCAGTTCAGCGAGACATTCATTATACAGTTTAGAGAGAACAGGGTCTAGTTCGGGAGCGCACTTCTTAATGACTATTACAGGAATACCATCGGGTCTAGACACTTTGTGGGGGTCCAGGTTAGAGATGATAGCAGAAAGCATAGAAGGGGTTATATTCATATCACTCAACAGAATCAGTTCTAAGAGGGAAGTTAGACAGGGATAATTCAGATTAGTCAAGAGAAGAGTTTGAGGAGAATTTACGCACAAAGCATACAACTTTATCAACAAAGGATGATAACACCTCAAATCGAATGAAGAGTGAGGGGATAGAGATCTTGAACTTATTTAGTACCCTATAACAGGGACTTCAGTATTCACGAGAGCCAAAGTTTTAGAGGCTATGCGGTGTTTTTTTAAAGCAGGGACTTAGCTTCTTTATGGACTCGCTTACTTGTTACAAGCAGTAGCAATTAGGCATCTTTTATGTCGAGAGCTGTCAAGCTGGTATAGTCGGAAATAGTTATTTACACTCTCACAATATATATATATATTCTTCTGTCTCTCTCACTGTCTATATATATTTCTCTCTCTCACTATCTCTCTCTCGCTTTCTCTCTCTCTCTCTCTCTCTCTATATATATATATATATATATATATATAAAGATTTATAATCCGGTGTTCTTAGCAGTTATTTTTTTTTTTTTTTTAAAAAAGTGATTGATACAAACAGTAGAGCAAAGTACACACAGGTACACACAGAGGCACACACACACACACACACACACACACACACACACACACACACACATATATATATATATATATATATATATATATATATATATATATATATATATATATATATATATATGAATGAGGCACGGTGTAGTAATGTATAGCGTCTTCGATTGAGGAATCGGAGAGCCGAGTTCGAATTCCATTAGAAACCATTACATTCATTTACGTGCTAATACCCTTGGGAAAGGTGTGAATCTTCTTCTCCCTCCAGCTATGGGTAAATAGCAGGACAGACTGGGTTCTATAGCCTTGGATGGCAGCTGGTCTAGGAGAAGGAAAACTCTGAATTCAAAATCTGCGGATGGTCGTTTGGGGACCTTGTGGCACGTAGTGCACCAGGTCTCTGTATTCGGCCGTTCAAAAATTGTGGATGGTCCTGCACAAAACCTTCACCACTTTAATCAAATCCCATGTGCTGTTGTCGGGCTGTCTGTTTCCTGGGAACTGATCTGCTTGACCCTCATACGTCGAATTCGACGGGAGAGTCGAGTATGTGTGTGTATGTTGGTCTTTCTCTATAATAATCTGTATGGTTCTCTTTCTTGACGATGATCTTAATTTTTTCTTTTGTGTTGCGGTAGGGCTTACGCAGAAAGATTTTCGAGTGCTTCCGCTCGATAAGTACCAGTTATCCGGATATTTCTGCGTAACACCCCAAAAATCCCTTCTCTTCTACTCTCACGTACCTTATCTCTTTTCCCCTCTCACCTTCCTTCACCCTCTCTCTCTCTCTTTCTCTCTCTCTCTCTCTCTATATATATATATATATATATGTACATACATGTATGTATGTGTGTGCGCTTTTAAGCATTCTTCTTGTTTTTACCATTCCTTATTTTCTGTGACCCGAACAAAACTATTTGGATAGTATTTTCTGTATATTTACTTTTATCCGGCAAACATTTATTTATTTATTATTTTCCATTTGTTAGACTAAAAAGTGGAGGAGGAGGAAAACTACCCAGTAAAACGTATAGACGTTAAACTAATGCTTAAAACTATCAATATATATATATATATATATATATATATATATATATATATATATATATATATGGGTTTTCAGGCACTTTCCAAAGGTGACGTACGCTGAAATCGTCCCCTCCTGACCGATAACATCAGGAAGTCTTCTTCTTGACAAATCAACCTATGTGAGATTCGAACTTAGGTCTCATGTTCAGAAATGAACGTTCTAACCACTCCAATAATAGGTATATATATATATATATATATATATATATATATATATATATATATATATATATATATATATATATGAATAAAAATGACAATAGGAAAACTGGTAATTGCTGACGCGTTTCGTCCAATGTGGACTTTATCAAAGCAAAAATACGAAAATGAAATTAAATGAACAAAGTAACTAATAAAAACAAAAACAGAATGTACCTAGCAACTGGAATGTAGAGAAACGCTATTTTCATATTTTTTTTTAACTGAAAAATAACGTCAGAGATTGTCACGTGTGGAGAATATTGTCATTATATCTGTGTTGATGTATTCAGCCATTTCTTTCGATTTTATGAATCTGTTGTGCATATTTGTTTGTAAGAGTATTAATTTTGTTAAGAAAGGTGAAATAGGGAAAAAGCCTGGGCGTAAATTAATATTTGGATAATTTTCTATGGCGGCACTCTCCAGAATTTTCCTTCTGAGTGAGTTATTTTCTTTTTTTATGAGTGTAGCATTTTTAAAATCAAAATTATGGTTGTATTTATTTCTATGTATGACTATTGCATTAGCTAAGTTGTTTTTTGTTTTTCAAACTTCTACTTGTTTCTCCAATATATTGGGAGGAGCAGTTTTGGCAATTTATTTTATAAATGCCTGCTTCAGAAATATTAGTGCTATTATTGTTTGAAGATAGGTTATTCTGGATCGTGGACGTGGCAGAATTGGTCGGTAGTATTATATATCTGTTTTCATGTGATTTACTATTGCGGATTGTGTTATTAGTTTTGTTTCGTTTGATCCAGAATAACCTATCCCATCTAAATAATCTTGAAATAGTCACAAACACTTCCAAAACAATTATAGATATACTAAGATCTTCAAACAATAACGCGGATATAATTTATCGTCATAACCAGGATGGTTGACTACGGTGGTTGAAGCCAGGGTTACAGTGAAGACATCAACAGTCGGATGTTGGATGTAGTCAGTAACAGAATTTTATAGACGAGATTTGGCACTGAACTGCAACGGTGCCATGCAAAAATATCCTGCTTACTGGACAATGGATGAGACCCTAATTATTCCGAGGTGGATGGAAACTGCAAGAATGCAGAGTTTCGCTTTGTGTCTTTTAATACCGAAAATCCTATGATGGCTTGTATAATAAAATCTGTGTAAAGCACGTTTTTTCATTGTTATTAATTTAACTCTAATATTTTTTTTACTTCTTATTGAGGCATTTACATCGTTAATTTACGACTTCTACATCAGCATCGCAAATCATACGAGGAAAAATACCGTAATTCCCAATGCATAATACGCCTTCATCCATAATACGCACCCCTAAAATTGTGCTGAAAGTTTTGAAAAATGCTTCTACTAATAAATAATATGCACCCTGTGTTTGGTAATCAAACCTATTAAATTGTATCTTTCAAATTTCATTACAGCCAGCGTTTCCTATTCTTATAAAAATGGTTTTAAACATGAAATAATATTATTCTAATTTAGTTTTATGATAATTCTTATTTTATTTTGCATTTGTAAGTATTGCTAGATACATATGATTGTATTTGACATCCTTTTGAGGTCGCAATCTCCGAATGTTAGTGTCAAATTGTCGTATGTTTGTGGTGAGTAGTCATTTCGCATCTGAAATCGACCTACGAAACGGCAATTTTTTAAAGATGTCTTTGTAGCTGTGCATGATAGGCACACCTAATTTTGCTTATTATTTTTTAGAAAAAAAAATGCGCATTATACAAAAAAATACCATACCTCATTTTCTACATAGTCCCCTTCCTTTTTGATAAAGTTGACCCAACTTTTGTATTCCCTCCAAGAGTGTTTTCAGTTATTTGCACAACCATTAATGCACTGGTGCCTGCATTTTTTTTATCCGTGCAAAATCGATGAATACGTAAAGCCTTTTTTTGAGTGGTCTAAAGATATGATAGTCGGAGGACACAAAATCTGGGCTTCCGGCAGGATGTTTCATAACCTCAAAATCCAGTTGATTAATAGTTTTATCGATCTGGCCAATGATGTAATGGAGTGATCTGTCATCTCCATGAGTGATTACTCTAAAGGTGGTAACTACCTATAAGTATCTGTAAGTCAACGGACTACAGAGTCTACCCGAAATCGTTTTGGCTAGACGGTCGAACTCCCTGCCTCTGAGCAGAGAGGAACCCGGACGAGGCTCCGCCGAAGGGCAGAGTCTCATTCGGGGAGGTTGACCAACCCGATCCGTTTATACGGGTTCTACGAGCATTTCTGGCCGAGTCTACGACTTCGGGAAATCCACGTTTTAAACCCGGCCTTGTGCCACATGCAACACTCGTGTTGGGGTGGCTAAATATTCTAGCTGAAATCTTTTCAGCTGTACGGCTGAACTCTCTGCCTTCGGGCAGAGAGGAACCCGGACGAGGACCTCGTTCGTGGAGGTAGACCGACCCTGAAGCCGTTTATACGGGTCCGAAGGGAATATTTTGGGCCGAGCCTAAGGGCTCGGAAAACTCACGATAAACTCGACCTTGTGCCACATAAGACCCTTGTGGGGAGGGAGGACTAGTAAATACCGACTAGCTGAAATCTTTTCAGCTATACAGTCGAACTCTCTGTCTTCGGGCAGAGTGGAACCCGGACAAGGCTATGCCGAAGGGCAGAATATCGTTCGGGGAGGTAGACTGATCCGATCCTGTTTATGCGGGTTCTACGGGGAATTTTTGGCCGACACTATGGGCTCGGAAGACCCACGTTAAACTCGGACTTGTGCCACATCTACCCTCGGGGGAGGTGGGGCTAGTAAATGCTGAGTGGTGAAATCTTTTCAGCTATACAGTCGAACTCTCTGCCTTTGGGCAAGAAGGAACCCGGATGTGGCTCTGCCGAATTTCGGGGAGGTAGACTGATCCGATCCCGTTATGCGGGTTCTCCGGGGAATTTTTGGATGTCCCACGTTAAACTCGGCCTTGTGCTACAGACCTCAACACGTTTACTCTTGTGCTCTGTGACAAGCTCCCTTGGAACCCACCTCGCACAGACTTTATGGATGCCGAGTTTGTCGTGGATGATTTCATAGGCATGACTAATCTGCAGAGAACATGCTACCTCATCGATGAGAACTCGCCGCTTCCCCATTACCGTCTTTCGAGCTTGCTGAATATTCTTAGTGGTGGAGGTTGACTGGTGTCTTGCTCCCATTTCGTGCGTCACGCATGCCCGGTCAGCTTTAAACGTCTCGATCCACTCATTCAAAATTCTACGCCGTAGTGTACCGTTGCCGTATTGTGCTAAAAGCCTCCGATTAGCTTCAGACCATGAGACACCTTTCGAGCAGAGAAATCTGGTCACCGCTCTTTGTTCTTTTTTGGTGCACACTGCTATCGGAGCGGCCATTTTCACACTGTAACAGCACACAAGAAAATTGGCGCGATCAAGTTCAAACTTCGATCACATGACTATAACAATACCAACTATAAGCACGCATGCACAGAAGGTAGTGCGACAAACCTGAAGATATATTATGGCGAAATTACAGATAATTTTTGACTTACCTATGTAAATACAGTAAGCCATTGAAGAGATTTGAACTCGTATCTCTCATATTTGTAAGCTCTTTTTTTCCATCTATGTAGTAGTTATTTTTATTTTGCTTAGTGACATTTTGTTAATTCATAGTTTTATTTATTCATTCTGTTATCTAATTTCTCGCTCTGTGGTGACGTAACAACAAGACGCCCTCTAGTGCGAGTTCTTACACATTTGCGTATTTATGTCACTGAGTTATTTCAATTCGATGTCAACAGGCTCCACTCCGTCCAGAGAATGTCTACACTTCTCGGGTGTCAGATTGGGGGCCATGCCTGAGAGGCAGATGAAGTCGTTAAATAATTCAGCTTTAAAATATCGCCAAGTTCACCCGCGAAACAAAGACAGGCGTAAACATTCAGAAGATACACACAAGTACATACATACCTACATACGTGCACACGTATTTAGGTATGTATGTATGTAGAGAGAAACGCAGACGGTGCGAGAGAAATAAGTGGTTAGTTAATTAATCATGTTTTAAATGTCTAATTTGTTTTGGTAGGGCCTGTTGAGTGACCACCGAGGTCACCAGACCCAACACCCTTGGATTTATGTGGGGGCCATTTCAAATTAGTTGTTTATCAGACACGCCCAAGAAATATTTAGGAACTTAAAGAAAGAATGAAATATGAATGCAGTAAAAATGACAGAGGAAACTCTCCGACGTATTAATGAATCATGTGAGCATAAAACTGAAATGTGTTTTGAAACAGGAAGAGGACATTTTGAACAGCATATAACACCATTGTGCAAATTAATAGAAACAAACGCTGGAGTTTCCTTTGTTTCGGAATACGGTCAGTTTTAGATCCACTGCAGTGACAGAGTGTAATCGATTTCTATTTTTTTCCTCAGATTAGGA